CCTGAGTCCTTTTGTTGGTGTCGGGTTACAGGTTCCAGTCCTTGATGGCAGGGTCAGGCTGCGGCTTCCAGATAGTTGAATTGCTAATTTGACCTCGCAGTGTGCTTGACCAGGAAGGTGGAGGTGTAGGTCTCTAGGTTAACTCTTTGATGACCGGGTACTGAGGAGGCTTTGTTTGGAGGATCACGTTAGCCAGTCATGGCTACAAGTGTGATGAAGTGCTTTGGACGGGCTCCTCTTTTATGCTGAATTTAGCATTACTGATGACGTGCAGGGCAGATAACCACTCATGTCTGGTTATCGGGCTCTGACCATTTCCAGACATGTCTTTACAAGTACCAGACATGTCCAGACATGTCTTACAAGTTTCCTATTACAAAATGGAGTCGTCCTGTTTAAGGGCCTGCTCCTTACAAACTCTAATTAAACTCTTCCTTTTGTAAGTTGCTTTGGTCATGATATCTCTTCACTGCAACAGAACACCACTAAGACAGATGGAGGTACTAGGGTTTTGAGTGTTGCTGTTACATGCCTGACTATGCTGATTTTTGAAAAAATAGGAGTGACATTGGGACTTAGGACTAGAAAAGCAATTGAACACTGTAAGTTGACCATTGTAGCAGGAAAATGGAAATCAATAACGTTGAGAGCAACATGAACCACGGAAGCGGCCCAACTCAAGAAGTCTCAAAGGGGAAAATATTAGAGAACATTCTTGTGATATTTGGAAAATAATATGGCTATTTTGGTGGTTTGAATAAATATAGCTTCCATATGCCCATATGGCACTGTTAGTGGGTGTGGCCTTGTTGGACGAAGTGTGTCAGTAGGGATGGTCTTTGAGGTCTCTGATGTTCAATCCTAGGCAATGTGTCATTGTTTCTTCCAGCTGCCTGCCTGTCCAGATGTATAACTCTCAGCTCATTCTTCAGCACCATGCTTCCGACTATAATTATGATGGACTAAACTTCTTAAACTCTAAGCCAGCCCCAATTAAATGTTTTCCATTTTACAAAGAGTTGTTGTGGTCATAGTGTCTCCTCACAGCAACAAAAACCTTCCAGAGGCTAAATTGAAGAGATTTGTATTAACATCATTGGCAGAGGAGATTTCAAGAAAGCCCAGTATTGACTGTGCTATGTGGTTACTAGTGATCACACACGTGCAGATCTACATTAGAAAACAGCAAACAAAGAAAATAGGAATTTTAAATGTAATAGAGTTTGAGAAGCAAAAGAACACCAGAGACTGCAATGTTGGAGCCAAGTGCTGAATTCAAGGAGTTGAGAAGTTTAAAGAAAGGCCTGATGTTAAATGGAACAAAGGGAGTGGTAACCTCAGGGCAAGATCCCATCTAGCTATTCCTTCCTCCTGTGAGAAGAAAAATCTGAGGGCTTTCCTCATCCTAAACAGAAACAACAATAAAAAGAGAAAGCTAATGTAAATAAAATTCAAGGAGGTGGCCAAGTTCTAGTCCCAGCAAGCAGTAGAACTTGGCAGCCTTATCCCTGTGGTTCTGACTTTGTTTTTAAAAATACAGATGCAAAAAAGTTGTGGCATCTTCTGTGATTAAGGAAAGCAGCTGAGATCAGGCATTTGACAGGAAACATCTTGCATGGAGGCGAATAGCAGCCATTGCCTGAAGCTGTGAAGGTGAAGCCTGGATTGCTTTCGAGACTCCAAGATGTTGGAGATGCCAGAACCCTAGGATAGCTACCAAAGAGAATGGCTGAAGGGCTATCGAAATAGCCCAATGGAGAGAAATGTATGGCAGTCAACAAAACTGAAAGAGTTGAAGATCTAAAGAACACTTTGATGTCAGACACAGAGGAACAGAATTTAGAGTTGGCTTTCTGGTTCTTTGACTTGCTTTGGCCAATATTTCCCATCTTTCCCTATTAGAATGATAATATATATCCTATGACACTGTATGCTAGACATGTTTCATCTGCTTTTTTATTTTTATTTTACAGGGGATACAGTTAGTACAGACTTGAGTCTCAGAAGAGACTTTGGACTTCTAAACAGTAGAAGACTGTGAAGACTTTTGAAGTTGTACTGAATGTATTTTATATTATGATATGGATACAAGACTATGGGAGCTAGGGAGTGGAATGTAGTTTTTTAAATAAGAATGGTCTCCTTAGGCTCATATATTTGTGTGCTTAGTCCCCAGTTGAACCGTTTGGAAGAGTTAGAAGGCATGGCCTTGTGGAATAGGTAAGGCATTGTTGGAGGAGGTATATCACCAGGAATAGCTTTTAAGGTTTCAAATCACCAGGGGTAGCCTTTAAGATTTCAAAAAGTTATGTATGAAGGGAGAAGCTGTCTGGTTTTCAAAACTTCTTCAGGTCCTCTGATTTCACAGAACAGGAGCAGCTGCATCTTCAGAATGTTCTATTTTGCAGCCTCCAATAAGCACACGGGCCTCTACATGTCAAGGCATTTTGGTGCCTAAAAAACTAACCTAAAACATGTATGATTTTTCTCCTATTATTTTACATATTTTAAATCTCCATTAGCAACTATTTTTCTGATATTCAGCTAATACAATAAATGGTATAAAACAAGTCAGATACAGTAATTTGTGGCTTTTGATTTGTGATCACTAGCTTGTTTTAAAAGTATAAACGTTTCTGAATTCATACAAGCAGATATGTATCACTTAGGACTTTATATAACTGAATATGACAAAAAGGAAAAACAACAATGATTTGATGAGACAGAAACTACATTTCTTTATATAAAGGAATTGCATGAAATATAATTCTTACTTTCTTATACAAAGAGCCCAGGGCTTTTAATGTGGATTCTCCAGCTCTGCAGGGGCACTCCTCTGCTACTGATTGAGAGCCCTGCTGTCAGTGTTCCAGTGGTCCCATTCACATTCCATGGAAAGAGCAGAAAGGAGTAGGGCAGAGATACTCCCCAAATCCACCACAAAAGTAAAGTGGAAACTTCTGGTCTCTTTGGAATGTCAGTTATGTCAAAGGATGCTTTCCTGAAAGCAGTCACAGGTGAAAGGATGTTTGCTAAAGCAAATTTGTGATAGGATGAATGATGTTATGAAAGAATAAAAACAACCCAACAGACAGCGGATGACTCTGGATGGTATTGACATGACATGCCTTGCTATTCCTTAGTGGTCATCGTTTGTCATGACTTCATAGAAAAAACCTGCACCAAAACACTTCTGATGGTATCCTGGCAGCTTCTTGCCACTTCTGCAGACTCAGGCCAATGATATCAGTTGATAGAGACTCACAGGGAGTTTTGCTAAGACAGACTTATGAGGTGTTTTGCTGAAGCAAGACACTTTGGAGGCAACACCCATGGGAGGACACATGATGTTTGGAGAGAGTATAAAGAGATCTCAATGGATGGTGAAGGCAGGCTTGCATAGCTAGCTTTGCAATGCTTTGTTGGTCTCGAATCTTTGTCTTCACTGATCTTCATTCCGTTGAGAGAGGCACGGCAGAGAAGTTCTCCTCACATCCCTGCTGGTCTCTACTGCTGTCTTGTGTTTGCTATGCTGACACTACTGAACTGGAATGCTGGTATATATCCTGACAAGGCAAATAGGATTTGCTCCAAATAACTATTTCTAAACAGATCAACTTCCCCTGTATCTTAATAATCTTCCTTTCTTGTCCACTACGTCCAGAGGGTGGTGGAACTAGAAGGGTAGTTAAGGCATTTAAGAACCCTTATTAAAAGTAGGATTTCAAGAATCTAAGAGAACAAGGAGCCTTTCTTTTTTGCATGGTCTATCAATGCAAATAAGGCTAGACAATGGCAGGCCCTTTGCCAGTGCTCTATGCGGCTTTATCCACCCAAGTGCTCTAGCCACCCAGTCAGCAGCCTCTATGCTTGGATGCCTCTAACTGTACTAGACAGGAGTAGTCACTATTATCTAGTGAAAACCCACCTGACACACTTATAACAGTGTTACAGTGTCAGGTTAATGTGACTTGTACTACGACCATAATGTTCAGAATTCACTGATGACAGAGAAAGTCTTTTTAAATTTAGATCAGCCCCCAGTACCAGTTAGCCTCACACTACAAGCTGTAAACCTAGTGGTTTCCAGCATGTAAAAAGTGACTCCTAACCTATTTTAGAAAATGCCTGCTTTTATTAAATTTTAAGATAGTTCAAAAGAAACTTTAAATAATTCAGTCAGGCACTTGCAGCCACTCCAAAGCCTCTAAGGCTCTGGGAACTTGGGTAGGAATGAATGCTTCAGCTTCTGACGGTGAGAGCTGCAGACCCCACTGAGGTTTGATTTGCTATTTATAATCTCATTTATCCTCACAGCAATCTTGTCCAGCAGTGTAGCCTCCATTTTCACATTTTTTTCTTTTTTTAAGTAAAGTATTCTCCAACTGTGAAATGGCACACGAGTCTTAGCCAGTGTCACTCCAGAGCTAATGAAGTAACAAAAGGACATATGAGCTCCTGCCTGCTGCTAACTAGGACCAGGCTCCTGGACTAACTTAGTACTTAGCCATAGGTTTCCTGTACATTATGGCTGCCAACAGAATGACTGGCTTAATGCTTTAATCTTAAAGCAGTCATCCAGGACAGAGGTGATGTTGTAGAAAAAGCAGTTCAGGGCTTCTTGAAGGCTTTCTGCCTCATTCTTCTCTGGATAATTTGACTCTAGAGAATGTAACAAAAAAATAAACCAAAGAATGTGCAAGCATACTTGTCTGCTGTGTCACATTTAAGAGACAAGCCTGTTTGTCCCTGTTGCTGGTAACCTGTTTGTTATGGAGTACATACTTGGTTTACAGATTGCTATATTAGAATGCTCCCTTGGTTTCAGGCTGAAGAACTGAAGGCAAAAGACAGTTGTGACAAGAATATTCTTAGAAATCTGTAAGAATCATTGGCTTTTGGTAACCACGCAGATGTTTATATGTCTTTGGGACAAAAAAGTTTTCATACAAAGGTGCTAAGAAGTATAAAAAGCCCTTAGAAGTATTGCAGGTGTGGCTGCTGTCAAATGTTTGTGAGTTGGTGGCAGAGAGGAAAGAGGCTATGTCTATTGGCAGAGAGGAAAGAGGCTATGTCTATTCTCAGTGTTCAGGCTTATAGACATCTGAATGATTAGTCACCTAACAGTTCCTGAAAAACAGTGAGCCTACCAGCTACAACTACCAATCTCTGTGCAGCCCTAGACAGGGCCCCAGCATGGGAAGCAAGAAATTCTTTTTTTAATTTTTATTTATTTTATTAAATCAAATCATAATTTTTACTTATTCACACAGGGATTATAAACACAAAAAGGCAGGACATGGGGTAGAGGAAGACAACGGAGCGTGGGTGTTCAGGGGGAGTATAGATATCATTCAGAACAGGGTATTGGCTGGGTGAAGGTTCAGGGGACAGGTCACTATGACTCTGCCTATGATTCACTTGTCCTTATCTAGGTTGGTATTATCCACCAAGGCTACCTATTTACAAGGTCTATGACTACTCAGGCTGGTAAATTTACACAAAAGCTGCCTGTTTACAATAGCTTATAGCCATCTGTTTCAATGTTTTTCCACAGAGACCCAAGACTTGGTGTTAGTATACATGTATGACAGACCTATTGCTGATTTTAGGCCTATGGCTGATTTTGGGCCTTCAGTGTATAAGCAGGACTGCCCCTGACATCTCCTCCCTTCTCTAAGTATAGAAGGGCTGTGGCAATTCTAATCTTGGGAAGGTGGGGATACAGGCCTGGTCTAAAACACCTCCTGGGATTGTGGGCTTCAAGCATGAAAGAGCCTGAGACAGACAACCCTCTCATGGGAATATTTGGGCAGGCCAATTCAAAGAGCAAGCTTAAGACAACCATTAGACCAACACCAGGATGCTCTGACAGAGAGCTAGTCTGAGACTACACACAAGACTGGGGGTGGGGCAGACCATCCCTGAGATGACCCCTGGGTGTGCCCTAATGCATGAGTGAGACATAGCACTCCTGAGACCATTTCTGAGATGACCCCAGAGACCCTCACTAAGATGAGCAAGTAAGTAACTGATGGAGAAATGGAAGAGGAACAGAAAGATGTGGGCACAATGAAGAGAGGTAAAACTGTAGAGTTAAAGGTTGTGGGGTAACAGCCTGATGTGAGTAGCCATTGATGCCACCATGGACCACATCTGCCTTACAGCAGAAGTGTTCAGTTACCACCAAAGGCCAGGCAGACATCCCTGGTCTTGGCTACTGCCCAAGGACATGTTGATGCAGAACTGGCCTGTTCATCAATCATGGGAGAGCTGGCTCTGGGGTGTGGGAGCAGGAACTGAGCTGTCCCTAGTTCTAGCCAGCTGTAGTAGTGCTTCACACATGGTGGAGAGTTGCAGGTGATCCAGCCCCGTGTATGAATGTGGAGAGCAGGCCCTGCCACTCATCTCCTGTACGGTGGCATGGACAAGGAAAAGATATTCTCCTCCTTCCTCATCCCTCACCACAAAGTCATAAGAACAAGTCTCTGCTCCTCACCTGCTGCAGCACTCGAGGGATGGGGGAGGCTCCACATCTCACCTGGGCAGAGCATTAGAGCTGGCCCTGGATGTGAGGGTTACAGGAGACCCAGCCCAAGAGCATGCGCACAGAAGAGCCAGCCCTGCCTCTTGTCTGCTGAGCAGTGGCACAGATGAGGGAGAGATAGATGCCTTACTTTCCTCCCCTCTCTAGTCTCTAGCTCACTATGGCAGACAGGAGAGCTGGCCTGGAGTCATGTGACAGGAAAAATTAGCCATGTCCCTCACCAGCTACACCTCACCAGTGCAGCAAGGTAGAGCTGACCTTGGTTGCAAGGGTTTCTGGTGAGCTGTCCCCCAGGACATAAGAATGGGAGAGCCACTGGGCTGGCCAGCTCAGGTAGGTCTCAAGCCAAGATCCGGGTTTTGAGTCAGCCCACCACAACCTCTACCCCCATCCATGAGCTGCTGGAGTATTAGAAGAAGCCAGTCCTACAGTTCCAAAACTATAAGATCTCTATAACACACGGCAACAAGAGGATATCCAAGAGGAGTCCCAGTAAGGCTTCAGTATTGATAGAGTAGCAGAAGCCAGAGGCCTTGTACCAGACAAACCAGTTATTACAATGAATTTTTGCAATCAAAGTATGGACAAAAGGGTACACTATGAGACACACTACAGCTTCCACAATATTTTTTTTCTGTTGGGGAGAGGGTTTCAAGGGTGGATGGTGGGTATGAGAGGAGAGGAAGATGTGTGTGATTGGGGTACATGATGTGAAATTTACAAAGAACCAATAAAAAGTTTGTTTCTTTTTTTAAAAAAGTATAAGGATTAAACCAATGCTTCCTGTCACATCTAACAGGTAACACAGGTGTTTCTGTTTTCCTTGATTTTAGCATAATTGGCAAAATCATTTGCCCAAATAAAATTTACACTATAGACAACCATGATATTTTGCTACCATGCAGAGTCAACCAAATTAGAAACAAATATTTCCACGGTTAAAAATTAAGGATAAGTTTTAGATATCTGACAGAGAAAATTCATACTGGCCAGCAGGAGGAAAAAACCCTGGTAACCCCAATTTAACAGACTTCTAACAGAGTTGTTCCTCTGGGAAGAATAATTATAAATGGAGAATGCCTTTTTAACCCAAGACAAGAGGCTCCTTTTGTTAATTGGGAGCTAGGGAATTCTGGGAGATAACTCAGAGAGAGGTTAAGCTAGGCAGTGCCTCTAGTGAGACAGAACATAAGGCAGTGCTAAATAGTTTGGGATGATAACGGACCCACATGATAGCAGGAACGGCTTCCATCCACAGTAAGGTGGGAGAGGGCAGTGAGGTCAGACAGCAACTGAAACAATGGTTTGGAGCTAACAGTGGACATGGATGGGCTGCTTGGTGGATGGTTGCCAGAACTAGAGTCTGACAAGGACATTCACTAGATTCCAAGAAATAAAATCTAATATTCTATATATCCATTTCACAGACAGCCTTTTAAAATACTCCACAAGCCAAGAATAATAGGAGAACTGAATTTAGTATCAATATTTCAGGGGTAGCATTTTAAATCACTGCAGCACGATCTCTTTGATGAAACAAAAAATGCAAATGTTCACCTGCAATATTTTAATTCTATAGTTTATATGAAGCTTGCTAACATGAAAATCTTCCTGTTAATATCGTGAATTGTAATTGACAAAATAGTGTCTCTGGAAGGAAGAGAAGCTTTTACCAGGTTTAGCCTAATCGTAATCTTAATTATAGCTTGAAATGTCCTGTGATATCAATGGAAGCACAAAGAAGGAATGTCTCCTGTGGTCAGGTAAGAGGTCAGGGCCTGCTCACACATGTGGAGAAGATAAACACTGAATATAACTCTTCACTGAAGACCCTGAAACTGAGTAGCAACTTCATAAGCTAGCATATTAGAGAACCAAAGGAAAGATCTTGATAAAAGAAAGTAAATTTGGAGCCCTAGAAAGTTGTCAGAAAGAAAAGTGTATTTCTAGAAATATAATATTAAGTTAGAAAAGATCTGTAACACCTGCCATTCATGTGCACTTGGGGGAAATAAAAGAAGCTAGGTAATAAAGGTGGGGGAGCTGCGTGGAGACCATGAAACAGAGGCAGGAGGGACAGATGCAGGAGGCTCCTCAGCATCCACAGGAGGGCAGAGGGCAGAGCAGGAAGCATCCTAATAAGAAGCAGCTTCCCAGGAGGTCACCTTAGAAAGCCTTGGAAATAACACACACTAAAACCAAGAACATATTGGTGCTGTGTTCTTATATGTGGATAGCATTTTAAACACCTTTAAGCTTTAAGACTATTGAAATACCAAGTGTTGATATATTTAATATGTGAAATACCTAACACTTCTATAGCATATCTTTCATTGTTTGAAATGTGTGTGTGTGTGTGTATGCTTGCATATCTCAAATATTAGTCCTACAGAGGGTCCTTCTCTGTTAGCAAAATTAAGTTGCTGCAATTACCTCAGTAGGAGCAGTGACTTTATTCTAGTCTCTGTAAGATTTCCCTTAAGCACCTTGAAGCTTCTGTTAGCCCTTTGCTCACTCTGAAGTGAATGACAGACAACTATATAGAAAGCATATCCACATCTAGGAAGCTGCAACACCTCTTGTTTAGCCACTTGGCCAGAAGAGACTACAGCTACCCACAGAGGCTACTTCATACCACACAGCCTTTCCCATACCACACAGCCTGTCGGTGACCAGGACTAGAAGACTGTCTTGTGTAGGTTTCAGCTCACAGGACAAAGGACTCATCCTGTGCCATCTCTTACATTCTGATTATCACCACCAAGAAAAATATCCATTGTTACTCTTTGCCCTATTCCTCAAGCTATTGACATTCTTTAAAAGCCCGCTCATAAACAAGAATGTTACAATAATGCTTTTATTCTATGAATGCCCTTCATCTCTGATGAAGACCCTGGGTGTAGCTTGGTTAAAAAAGAGAGCCTAAGAAAAATTGCTAATCAAGTTAAGAGACTTGTAATGCAAAAGCCAGGTGAATATCTATAACTTTCAAACTAGGCATGTCTTCAGGCAGAAGAATCTCTGGGCCTTACTAGCCAGGCAATATAGCTGAATTGGAAGATAACCCATTCGAATATGTATATATCCTTGAAAGGCTCTTAGATTTAACAAAGCAGTAAAGAACTACCCAGAGTCTTGTGAAATTGAGCAAGCCCAGAAATAGTGTGAGATATTGTTCCTCTGCAGATTCCAAATGAAATGCCAGAGAAGACAGATTCAGCTGTACCTCATGAGACCACTCAGGACAAGAGTTCCAAAATAAAGTTGAAGGCTGTAAGGATTCCAGTGGGGAAACTAAACACTGTATCCTAGGAGGAAGCACAAATCATTTCAATTCTTAAAATAAAATTGAAAGTGATTCAGTATTGTAAAAAACCCTAGGAAGTGTCAGTCTGGAAGAAATAACACAATGTCATAATGAAATGCAATTCACAATTGTCCACAAGTAATTTTACAGACACAAAGCCCAACACAATAACAACTATCATGGCATACCTTGACAATAAAACCAAAATAATAGAAAAATTATCCCAAATTGCAGATTGACAATAAACAAAAACACATGTCTGATGACCAGCAAC